ATAATTGAAATCTTTGTACACGAACCTGCATATGACAACTTTGTCTGTCGGGTGTTGATTCACAGTTTGATTGAATGTTGCATAGCATTGTTTGGCTACACTATCGCAGTCTGCACCATTATTTAAAAAAAAAATATTTATCTCAGTAAAATTTAAAATCTCTTTTTTTTTTTTTATTTACAGATAAACATAAACCGTTTGATCTGTTACTGTTATTTCTGAAGATTTCTCGTAGGGCCTTTTTCTACTAAATTTTGCGTATTTGCTTATGTGTATGAATATGTGTATAATTCGATTTCTGCTCTTAGTGTGTTTTCTGTATTTCAGCTATTCATTAATTTTTAACTTGTGTTGCAGAAAACTTTATATAATATAAAAACAAGGAGCAAATTTACAACGAAAATTGATTCACAAAATAATTTAAATAGGAAGTAGCTAATAAAAAATTATCGTTAAAACTATTGTATCCGATCAAAAGCCGCAAATAGTTGAAATACGACGTTCCAAATAATTTTTTTCAATAAATGTGTTGTTACTCCCAAATACAATAGCATCTACTATGTTCATTTTCCCTATATTTTCAAATGTATACTGCATTTAACAAAACTAATTTTCTATTCTATATTAACAACATCAGAAACCTTAACATTCCTCAACCACACCAGGAAACTAAGTAGATTATACGTGGCCTACCTCCCGAAGCTAGTCCAATTGTAACTATCAGGATAAACGCGGTAAGGAACATTTCTTTCGTGGCTGCCATTGTTCAAATCTCTGTAATTCTCCTAACCGGAATTCTTTAAAAAAATAGACGTAAATAAAAACAACATATTCTTAAATTTAACGTGAATGAGTTGTTTTCGCAAGTTTGCGATTTTAAGAATTGAAAAGCAGCCTGCTTTACTGATGAGGTAATAACATAACATAACTAACATACAAAACAAAACTTTATTTAAAGATCACACAAAATTGTATTTCAGATGAGAAGTTAACACAGATTATCTCTACTATAAAGTGCGCGTTATTTCAAAAAGGTACAAAACGTTATCTATTATGAGTGTCCGACTGATTTTAAGCAAAAGCATTTTGGTTAACTTTCGAGAGTCTAGTAATATTTCACAGCGCCAATAAAATTCATGTTTTTATCTACTGTCTTCAATACAAATAACACTTACGCGGCAATGAACAATTAAAAGTAAGTTCTTACCACTTGAGTACAGAGCACCTACACAACTTATACCGATTCAGTTAACCTCTGAACTAAATAGGATTATACGCGCATGCTCGGTTAGCATTGTTTCGCAATCGAATCCTACAACCCGTGGTCCAATGAAAATCAAAGCAGCACTGCCAGTCTAAACACGTTGATAATTTTTTTTAATTGCGCAATTATATATATATATATATATATATATATATATATATATATATATATATATATATATATATATATATATATATATATAATAAAAACATAAACACATATACTACACTTTCGAACCTTAAGTCCCATAGGACATAAAACGTAGAGAAAAAATATATATACAAACACATAATACAAACATAGGATACTTATTTCCGGCCTTACACATGTCGTGTGTTGGTGCATTTATCTGTTTTGAAATTATCTGTTTCACTTTATTTTTGCAGTAATAATTCCTATCCTCTGGCCTGTCAAAAGAATGTAAAACGTGAAAACTTTGTATGTGTAATGGTTTATCGTGTTATGTTTTTTTTTAATTTATATTTATATTACTAGCGTACCCGTCCAAGCGTGTTGCCGCGGAAATAGAAGAAAATCCGACAAAATATATAAAAAGATTTTCATCAATGCGTTACTAATCCTATATTCTTAGACTCGTGACCTTGTTTTCTAAAAGAGAGTTACTTAAGTGTAAACAATCCTGCGCTTGGATCATTAATATCGGGACACGGGTTTACCTACACTACAGCATGAAAAACTTGAATGTACATTAATCACTCACCGAAATAATAAGGTAGAACACACTTCGGTGACCGCCCATGTGTCATGGACGTAGAGGGGCGCTCTCAGGAGCCCCCCCCCCCCCCCCGATTACACTACCGCATAGGCGCCGCGTACGGACCCTAGCTCCTTAAAACTAACAGGCGCCATCGTGCCAAATAGCATCCTGTTAACAATGATGCAGATTGCGTTATGCGCTAAAGTGACACAAATGAGCAAAAAAAATTATTTGACGTGTTTTAAACATCACTGTGACTGATGCAATGTGTTAGCGTTACTAATGGTCTATTATTAGATGCTCGATTTCAATTTCTTAGTGGATTGTCTAAAAATGGATGCTAATTGCATCATTCGCAAAGTGACGAAACTGTTTGGAATTTTTACGGACAAAAAGAAACACCCCAGTCGATATTGTTTCTGATTGTTAAAATAAAACGTATTACATGGCCCTCAGCGGCCCATGTGACCCTTTGGGGACCGAAAGTGAAATTTTCGTTTGCAGCCAAATCGCACGTATAATTCAATTTAGAGAGCGTTTGTAACGCCCCATCCTATCCATTGTCAATCACACTGTTTAGACTGAACGTAGTCGTCATAGCGCTCACCGGAGAGACCAGGGCGCCAAATCGCAGCCTGCCGGGGGGAGGCGCCCATGCTAAATTAAACCTTCCCCACCCACCACCCCCCATCACCACCCCAGAAACCTTCTTGGGAGTATTTATAAACTCCCTAAAGTTTTATGGCACTCGGATAACTGTGTCGAACCGCAATCGTATTTTATTTTTATATACCGTAGGCATATATTTAGAAAAATCGCACTATCCCGTGGCGCCACCCTTGCGAAATTGAAAAAAAAATATTTTTTACATAAACCTCACCTGAAGTGTTCTAATGAACTCACCAAAGTTTGATGGCGATCGGGTGAACGGCGTGAAATCGCATTCGACTTTTATTTTAATATACCGTACATAGAGAAAAAACAAATTGCGCCCTGTCGGGGCGCCACCCAGGCGAATTTGAATTTTTTTTCCGCAGAAACCTCCCAAGGAAAATTCACAACAACAACTTCTCTGCATATATTTGAGAAGAAGACGACTTGAGAGCTAAATAAATATAATAAAATTAACATCGAATTCTAGCTAAAAAAAATGACACTTTTTTATTATTTTACACTGAGAATGTTCAAATCGAATTATCTTTTGTCGTTGAAGTCTTTTGCTCTTGAGATAATTTTTCCTTAGATATTTATTCATGAGATCATGTGTCCTAAGATCATTTGTAATGTTATAGATAAACATGTATCCCTGTATATACTAAACATGCGTTGTAATTTTAGTTTGCCTGAAATGGACTGAATCTAATACAAATTTTCTAGGTTTTGGTTGGTTTTATGGCTTGGTTTTGTCTAGGTGTTACATTTGGTTTTGTTGGTTTTATGGCTCGTTGTGCCAGGTATAACAAGATCAAATAGAACAAAATCAATGAAGAGAATATATTCCATACACATGCAATTTTCACCACACGAAATGACAATAAATGACAAGAGCTCACACTGTGTTGTACCAGTATTAAATAGAAGAAAATCATCAACGAGAATATATTCTATTCGCATGTAACATTCACCAAAAAGAATTCACAAGATTTACTCAAGAAATCACAAGCGTTCACGCACTTGCCCTCTCTAGCAGAGTTTCTTCCAGGCATCAGTCTATCAGCCCCTCGAACGAAATTGAATATATATAGAAAACATATACTTTTACCAGTGTCCGCATGTTGTCCCCCCCCCCCACACACACCCCCCGCCCCCACCCCCGGAGAAAAAAGTTTGGCAGAAACACTGCTTTCAAGGGGAGGCATCTCTCTCTCTCTCTCTCTTTCTATCTATCTCTCTCTCTCTCTCTCTCTCTCTCTCTATTCTTAGTGCCTGCACATTATCGTTTTAGACGACCAAGTCACACTAGCACACGAGCGAGGTCCAGTGTAAGCAATTTCAATTAGGAACATTAAATACATCTCCCTATTCCTATCTAGAAAACTTTACCTATACCTACGACTTTACCTGAACCTATCCATATCTTTAACCCTCCCCAGCCTTATCCACCCCGAACCAAAGCTTACCCTTACCATACCCCTAATCCCTGGCGCTAAATATCTACCAATAAAGATATTAAATTTCATTCGTTAATACATTGCCTGCACATAATATGGCAATTCGAGCGTTCAGAGATCATGCGCAATGCCCCTGTGACGACAGTCTAGAGCAGGAAGTCTCCAACTGTTAAGTCGATATGTCTCTGGCACTGTTTCGGGTCCTATTAATATCTCGTGTTGTGAAATGACCACTGTGCTGGCACTGACCTAGTAGCTGTATCCACAGCAGAAGACAAGACAAAGGCATTAAGATATTAACGGTACACTATGTTTGAATCGAGACAATGCAGACATAAAAAAGCAGGCTATTAATTTCGTCAGCAAGCGTTGTTATTACATATATCAGGTGTTGGCCAATACGTTCCTGTTTTTAATTGAGTGGTATTATATTAAATAAACGATATATGTGCGCTTTGACATTCTTCGACATATACACACGCATAACCTCATCTTACAACTAAATAGTCGTACAAACGAAAAACAAAATGAAACAACGGAAAACGAGCAAACAAAAGAACTCGCAGACAACTTGCAAAATAATGGCATTACAGCCATTCTGGCACAAGTCCTAACACTCTGGTTCTACTACACAAACTGGTGGGGACTGGCTGTGTCCAAGCGATCAAGGACAAAATAAACGCGGTCCGTCTGATTTAAAGTTCTTACTGTGAATTATATATATATATATATATATATATATATATATATATATATATATATATATATATATATATATATATATATGAATTGTATGCCGTTGGACATGAAGAAATAGAAATGGTAATATGGAGAGGTACGCTCACAAAACTGGAGAAAGTTTACCAACAAATACTTGGTTTTAATCAGAGTATAAAAAGGCCAAGTACAACAGCTTTCAAGGCGGGCCATCGGCCCAATGTCCCGGCGGCCCATCTGCCCATTGTCCCCGCGCCTCATCGGCACACTGTTCTGACGAACCATAATGATTTTTCCCGGTTAACCAGCCGTCAAGTCCATTCCGGTGCAGACAAAAAACATTTTGTAAAAATTTAACGACGCGTTAGAACGCATGCAAGAAAGCAAGCCTTGTTTTAATTTTTTAAAGACCGCCTTTTGTATGTAAGGTGCAGGCTTACACGATCGTTTATTTAATGGAGTTGTTGTATCTTGTGACAGAGTTATCAAGATTAATTAAACAATGGTCTTTGTGTTCGTCTTCGTCTTTGTGTTCGTCTTCATGTTCGTGTTCGTGTTCGTCTTCATAGAAAAGCGTAGGTCACTATATTATCAATTGGTTACTTTTTTTAATTAAAGAAATTTTATTTCAGAACAATCTATCCAGCATCATTTTTATCTCATTTGCTTGCCTTGGCAGCTCCCTTGGCTTTTGCCTTAGTTGCCGCCATCAATTTGATACATTTACTAACATTTAGGAAGAGAACCACGTTTTTTATAATCATTGAAATAGTAATGTATTATTATATTATAAAAGAAAAAAAATACTTTCTCAATTTAGTGCATTATTACATAAATGCTTGCAATTAAAACGTTTGTAATGCTTTGTACAAGCTTTTATTTAACTCACTTCCTCGTCAGTCGTCAGTCTGTCTAGATCGAAACGCAGGAGTGAAAATTCGGAAACTTCTACTTGACCAATACGATTCACATTTGACACGTAGGTCAAGACATGAAGACAATGCAATCTGAAATTAAATTTGACGTAATTGGATGCCTAATTAATTTTTTATGAATTAATTAAAATTTGGACCGAATTAGTAGGCATGTCTCTCC